GAGGACTATATCCTGTGTGCATAGACTTGCATTTGTTGGGAGTTCATTCTGTTCAATTCAAAGCGATCTCACGGTTTTATTTGCTGTTACCCTTTTCTGCTGTGTTTCCTTCACAGGTCGACCTTTCTGATGCTGCCCAGAAGGAGCGTGTGAGCCAATACTTCGAGGAGCCCGATGAAATTGACGGGCTCGTGCTGCAGGAGGCCAAGTGCTTCAAATGAGAGGGTTCAGAGACGCAGAGGCTAGCTGAATAACGCAGCTGGTTAATCGTCTGCATCGCAATATAGCAAATTTTGCTAGTGCGTTAGGGAAGCTGTTGTAGTGAAAGGCCAACCAGTTGTGTACTGAACTGTTTGCAGTGCACATTGAATGACAGCCTAAACAACCACAAAGATGATAGGAGTTGCTGTCCAGAGAAGAATTGAGAGGTGGTGAGCGAGATATGCACATTGTCAGCTTTCTTGTAGCGACACCACACTCGTTATACGAGATACCTGCATTTGCATGTTGTAGCAACCAAGCAATCAATCCAATCAGAGGTCGCCGAACCCAAACCACGATTCTGTGCTGAGAAATGTGGGCTTTAAAGTTTGCAACGGCTAGTTGTGTGTGTGTCCATTCTTCCAGCAATTGTGCTGTTGGGTCATTAGCTGGTTTAGTTATTTCGCGACTGCTGACAGCTCTAGTCCGCATTGATCTCGCATTGAGTACAGTCTCCTCCTTTTAAGCGTGGTAAACACCGAGCGACACCAGACGACAGCCATGGCGACGTCGTCGCCAGCTGTTCGCCGAAGATCGTCATTCCCCAGCGCCTCGTCGCAGCCGTCGCTCCGCGCATCGCCGTCGCCCGCGCGACCAGTTCCGCCTTCCGCATGGGAACACCCGCCGTCCTCTGCGGAAGCGCGGGAAAGCCCGGCGGGAAGCGGTCGACCGCGGTGGCGCCGGCGCCGCGAAACCGCCGGCGCCAGTGCTGGCGCCGCCGCGATCGGCGCGTTTCAGACGTATCGCCATCCGTTGATTGATAAGATGCTCGAAGCGCAGCGAGGCATGCCGACGCTGACAGATGCCACTGTCGCGGCAGGAATCGCGGTGACCGCTGGTCTCCTATTGGCTGCGACGCGACCGAGGTAATGGTTCGTCCTGAATCGGCGCTAGAAGAAGGGAAGCGATGGACAGTTACATACAACTGACGGACGATTGACAGACAGAGACAGGAAAATGGCAGAAAACGACAGAAAACTGACAGACAACTGACAGACGGTTCAACCCGAGCAGCAACAGACAAATCCAACGTTCAACTCATTGTTTCTCCAGCCCTTCACGATCCATTGACTTTTGTTGTATTTCTTCCTTCCGCCTCGTTCAAACTATACCCCATTCATAAGCCTCAAACCCGCATGTAAATGCAGGGAGCAGCAGGTGTGGGTCTGCCTGGTGTTTTTGAGAATTCTCAAAAACACCCTGCCTGGTGGATTTGAGAAGGCACGGGTGGTGACACGACACGGCATTGATCCGCCTCTCCTTGGTGCATTCAACCTTGGAGAACAAACATCCGCAAACTTGAACTCCACTTGTCTGCCTTGTACTCGCGTGTGCAGGGAGCAGCAGGTGTGACTGGCTGTTGATGCAAGCATGGGTGCTATTGGATGCCTCTTTCTCAGTCCTGCCGCTTCTCTCTCTCCCTCCTTTTAGAGTATTTTTGAGAATTCTCAAAAATACTCTGCAGGCATGGGTGCTATTAGATGTCCCTTTCTCAGTCCTGCGGCTTCTCTCTCTCCCTCCTTTCCCTTTGCTCTAATCATACTCCACCTGTACTCCCCTGCTGCAGGGAGCAGCAGGTGTAGTCTCTCTCTCCCTCCTGTACTCCACTTGAACCCGAATGTTGTGTGCAGGGAGCAGCGGGTGTGGGACTGGCTGGTGGATGCAGGCATGGGTGGTGACGCAGCAGGGATCTCCCTTACTCCTCTCCCTCGCTCAAATCATACTTTCTTCATCTGCCGTGTACCCGCATGACGTGTGCAGGGAGCAGCAGGTGTGGGACTGGCTGGTGGATGCAGGCATGAGTGGTGACGCATCAGGAATCCTCCTCTCCTCCTTGCAAGTCTCTCTCTCCGTCCTTCTCCTCCTCTCTCTCCTCTCCCTCGCTCAAATCATCTTCGCTCGAGTCAAGAACCCGACGAAGCCTCCCTTCTCCTCCTCGTTTTCCGAATCATTTCCCCTCCCTGCTTCCCCATTCACCTCCTCTCCGTATGGTTTGAACCACAACCACCACCACCACCAGCAGCAGCAGCAGCCGCAACAGCAACAGAACCAGCAGACTTTCTTTGCTTCTCCCCTTGTTCCTCAACGATTGGCCAATCTCCCTGTTGCACCTGGCACATCCCTTCACAATCCCACACCGTCCTCGCCACTCCCCTCCCCATCTCCCTCCTCGGGACCTGTCTCCTCCTCCCCGTTCCCCACTCTCCCCCTGTACCCCCAGAAACAACGCCCATTTGCAAACATCTATGGTGCTTTCTTTAAGCAGCCTCAGGCCCAGAATCATAAGCAGCAGCAGCTGCAGCTGCAGCAACAGCAACAGCAGTACCAGCAGCAGCTGTATCAGCAGCAGCAGTATCAACTACAGCAGCAGCAGTTGCTACAGCAGGAGCCTAATCGAGCCTATTCCTTTCCCAACCAACCCTCTCTCTCTCCCACCCCTTCTATTCTCCATCACCCTTCCCACTCCCCACTCTCTCACTCCTCTCCTGTCCCCTCCTCTTTCTCACACCCTCCTTTCTCGCACCAACCAACACCAGAAGCAACAACTGCTGCTACCACAACCATCGCCCCTACCTCCCTCCCAGCCCTCCCCCACCACTCCCACTCCCTCCTCTCCTCCTCCTCACTCTCTCACTCACTCCACCCTTCCCTGCCTTCCCCCCATGCTGCCTCTCTCGCGCAATCTCTCCCCTTACCCCTGGGAGGCAGGAGAAAGCAGGTGGAAACAAAGGAAGAGCTACAGCAGCTGCTAATGAACCTAGATGGTAAACTGGCAGCAGCAGCTGCTGCTGCATTTGCTGCTGGTGGTTCTGTAGATGGGGAGGGAATGGGTGGGGGAGCAGGAGCGGACGGGGGAGATGGAAGGGGTATTGTGGGTGGAAGAGGTAGAGCAGCCGAAGGAGCAGCAGCGGCAGCAAGAGGAGGTGGAGAAGGAGGGGCAGGAGACAGAGGAGGGGATAACTCTGCCTCTTATCCGACGGGCTATTGTCAGTTTCAACCAGAATATTTTGACCGCCTTCCTCCTATCTCCCCACGTACCCTTGCCGATTCTCTCATTCCCACCACTCCCAATATCCCCCGCTCCTCCTCCCTAGGAGCCTCTGCCTCCCCCCTCCCCCCTTCCTCCTTTTCCCCCGCTTCCCCTCTCCGGTCCTCCTCTCCACCACCATTCTCCACCCCTTCCCACCGGCACACACACACGGACGCCACTGCACCGTTCTTAACCACCCCTCAACGTTACACCCTCCCTTCTTCTCTCTCCACACCTCCTCCCTCCACAGGCCACCCAGACCTCTATAATCCCTCCTTCACCTTCCCTCGCTCATCCCTTCCCTTCGATACAGTCACATCGGACAACGCCCCATCCTCTCCCCTTTTAGTCCACCCTAGGTTAACGCCTAGCCCCTCTCGGGCCGCCATAGTGGGGAAAAAAGGTGAGGTGGAGAGATTAAAGCCCATGTTGCCTGAAGAAGAAGAGGAGGGCTTTAAGCGCCTGGGGGTGCTGCAGTGGAGGGACACGTGGCGCGATGGGATTCGCCAATGGTTTTCACAGCACCTGCTGAAGGCGCTGGTGAAGAAGATCGAGGCGGCGCCTAGCAAGGTGTGGTGCGGTGGGGATGGGTGGAGGTGGGTGAACGTGAATGAATGAGGATGGGAATGGGTGAGGGTGGGTGGCATGAGGAGGAAGGTGGGTGCAGGAGAGGAGAGTGGGTGAGGCTGGATGAGCCTGGGTGGGGATGGTGCATGGAGCAATGGGGGTGGGATGGGGCTAGTAGGAAGGAATTCGCCAGTGGTTTTTGCAGCACCTGCTGAAGGCGCTGGTGAAGAAGATTGAGGCGGCACCTAGCAAAGTGCGGTGCGGTGGGGATGGGTGGAGATTGGTGATGTTAGATATAAGCAAAAAACCGAACCTGGGTTCGGTTCGGTCGAACCGGTTTGAATTCTCTTCGAACCCAACTTTTTTTCACATGTAAAAGGTTTGAGCAAACTGTAAAAGGTTCGCGCAAACCGTTCGTGCGAACTTTTTTGGTTCGTGTTCCTACCTTCGAACCGAACTAGTTCGAAGTTCGAAAATGGCTATTTTGAACTTCGCAGGGTTCGAAATAGCCCCCAGCCAGATCCAACTCCCAGTCAAAGTCGGGAAATGTCGTAGAGTTGGCTGCCATTCACGGCAGCCAACCCCTAGATCGTAAGTTAAGGCAGATCTACATATGCACCTACCTGACTACCACACCCATGCTACCTCCCTACAAGTCATTACATCTCCCCTCGTAAGATGTTCCTACGTTTAGGTGTTAGATTGGTTTGACCCTTCATTGTTTGGGTGTTTGATTTTTTTAGACCCCCTCAATTGCTGTTCTGTTTAGAACTTGATACTCTCGCTGAACCGTCCGACGCGCATGCCTCTTACATTTCCTTTTGCATCAGATTTCCCCTAAACCTAACTAGGTTCGCGTTCGCCCAAGCCTTTCAATGTTTGTGCAAACCTTGAAGGTTCGATGTTACAAATCCAAACCTCAAACCTCAAAGTTAAAAAAAAAAAAGTTCGAGCAAAGCAGTTTGGTTGGGTTTGACCACAATGCAAGGTTCGAAAAAGTTTGAGCAAACATGTTTGAGTTCGGTTCGTGCTCATATATAGGTGACGTGGGTGAAATTGTGTGAAAATGGTTGAAAGTGGGTGAAAATGGGTGAAAGTGGGTGAAAGTGGGTGAAAGTGGATGGAGTGAGGAGGGTGGATTATGGTGAGGGTGGATGACGGGCTGTTGGGGAATGATGCATGGAGTGATGGGGGTCTGGAAGGCATTTTGCGCCATTCACAATACCTCTCCCTCCCACTGCAACCTCATTCTCTCCTTCCGCCCCCCATCACCCTTCCCCTCTCTTTCCTCTCTGCTCTCCCCACCTCACACCCCCACTCACAGCTGTCAGCAGCAGCAGCCCCTCTTGGCCTCTCCCTCTCCCTCGAACCTCTCCACAGCCTCGGAAACTCCGCCGTACCTCCGCCCGCAGGCTCGGCAGGTTTGGCCCAGACCTCCACCCCAGGCTCGGCAGGAGTGACAGCAGGAGGCAGCTCTGGTTTGGGCGTGGGAGGGTTGGGAGGAGTGGAAGGAGGGGGAGTGGAGGAGGTGGGGGGAGGGGGGAGAGTGGTGGTGGTGCAGGGGAGTGTGATGGGCGAGAGGGAGGGATTGCAGCAAGTGAAGGGGGTGCTGCTACAGTTGCTACAATCGGCCAATCAAGCAGGTGTGATAGTGACAGGTGTGATAACGGTTGCCAGTGTGTTTGTGGAAGCATGTGTTACCGTAGGTGCAGGTGTGATAGGAGGTGGGGGGAGGGGGGAGAGTGGTGGTGGTGCAGGGGAGTGTGATGGGGGAGAGGGAGGGATTGCAGCAAGTGAAGGGGGTGCTGCTACAATTGCTGCAGTTGGCCAGTCAAGTAGGTGTGATAGGAGGAGCAGGTGGGATCACAGGTGTAGGTGTGATGGAGCAGGCGGTTATCCGAGTGTTAAGAATCAGGACGTCTCACACCCCATGCTAACAAGTCATTTTATCCTGACGGGTAAATCTAATCCTGGTTGCTATGCATGTTTGCTTCTGGGTGCTGTGTGGGTGTGATCACAGGTGCTGGGTCCATGTTGATTTTTGAGGCGCCTCAAAGATCACAGGTGCTGGGTCCAGGTTTGGGCAGGTAAAGTTTCCATTCGTACCCCACTTGCAAATGTTTGCTTCTCCTTTGCTCCCCCACTTCTGTCACCACGTCTCGCCTTCTTCCTCTTTTCTTTTCTTCCCTTCGTCCCCTCTATTCCGTATCAGCCCGTCCTGCTGGATCCATATGTGGCCTGCACGTGCCAAATTCCAAGCCTGGTCAAATCATAGTTTGAGGCGCCTCAAAAGTCGTCTCCGTGTCAGCCGCTCCTGCTGGGTCCAAGTTCGGCCTGCTCCAGCCACGTTGCAAGCCAGCCCAAGTTATCTCCCATTACACTACTTCTGAGGATCTTTGCTTCTCCTTCGCTATTCTACTTCCTCACTTCCCCCCTATATCTAACCAGCCCCACCTGCAGGGTCCATTTTTGGCCTGCACCAGCCGCAGCAGCAGCAGCAACAGCAGCAGCTGGAGGCACAGAAGGAAGCTGCAAGGAACCTTCTGGCAGCCATAGCGGACTACGAGCATCTTAGGGACGTCCTTAGAGGCCACTGGGCCAAGGGGCTGCTGCCACGTGGCAGCATGCCATTGGAGTACAGCACTCAACGAATCAAAGGTAGCGTGACAGGTGCTAGAGGGGGGGGGGAGTGATTAAAGCATAACTCCCTCTAAGTACTCTCTCAAGCATATCTCCATGGTTTCCTTTTGCTATTTTCCGGTCCGTTCATTCGCTTCACATCTTCCCAGTTCCCTCTCACTCTCTCTCTCCGTCTATCTTTCCCAGCCCTAGCAGCAGGGTCCTGTCTGCGCTGCTTCCAATGGTCAGCAGGAGGAAGCTTCCTAACACGGGACACCACCCGTACCCCCACCACTAGCTCCTCCCCCGCCGCTGCCATACCCAGCAGCACCACTGCTTCTGCCACCCCTACGCACCATTCCCTCCACTCCTCCTTTCCCCCTGAAGCTCTTTCCCCTGCCCCTAGCTCGCCTGCTCCATCATCCCCTTCCTCTTTCTCCCCCTCTCAACCCTCCTCTGTTTCATACTCCTTACAAGCTGCTCCAGAAGGCGTGTTCCTTGTGCCCTGGACTTCTGACCTCCCCACTGATGCCCATCTACTGGCCTATCTCTTCGCTGCACACCTGTCTCATCCCCATTGGCTGGATGACTACCTCCAATCGCCACTGCCACAGCAGCAGCAACAGCAACAGGTTTCTGCAACTGCTGCTACAATGCCGGCTACAGCTGCTAGCTTCGCCGCCCAAAATCCCCTCGTCGTGGGTGGCTCTCTCCCTCGTGACATCCTCGTGCTGCTTTCGTCCTCTTCCTCCTCTCAGTCACCCTCTGCCCTTCTGGGCGGCAGGTTCACGGCCATTGTGGGATCGATTCCACCAGCTAATGTTAGGGTGCCACCTGGCGCTGATGTGCTTGTGATAACAAGGGATGCACCTCCTGTTTTCGTCCTTTTCTGGGAAGGCCAGCCGTCCTTCTGTCTACAGGTGTGTTCTTCTCTTCGTCAATTTTCGTATCTAGTTGCACCATTGTCACAAGGCATGTGGCACACTGCCTTGGAACAAATGTTGGTTTTTTCTTTTCTTTTTACATACCTTGTTTTCCACCCTTTTCTCCCTTTGTCCTTTGTGCGATCCAAGCAGGGGAGGTTTGCATTGTGGGATGCTGTTTTGTTGCTGTGCCTTGGGGTGCATTTGCACCAAGGTGGCGTAATTGGTGATGTTAGCCTGTCTTCTCCATCTATGGCGCTTTCTACTGTAATGGTGCACGTCATACCTCCAATTAGCTCTTGAACATACTGAAGATATAAAATAACAGCTTCAACTGGTTGGTGTACTTAGGTTTTTGAACTTGATGCTTGTGTTAGTGAGTGTTACTGGTCTTCTCGTCGAATTTGAAATAGATGCACCTTGCTTGTCACGTGCTTGACATCATGAAAATCATCCGCAAACCGCGGGTTAGTCGTCAGGTGAGCCTCCCATACATCAGGCCTGATGTCCACCAATGACACCGCACCAAATCAGCTGTCCGCGCCCCGCGCGGTGAGGCACTGAGGCTGCCCTCTCTTGTGTAACCAGCACTGTAACCAGAATTTGGAAATGAGCATATCACGTGCTCGCTGACGTCTACTTTACTTTCCTACGTGGATTACGTGGTTCTCGATCTGCGCGTGCACCTCAATGAATGATGCAGTGTAGGAGGATAGGAGCCGCCGACAGGATTGTTACTGTACCTCCCTCCACCACTCCATCCCCTCCCCTATCGCTCCTCCCACACTTGCGGTCCACCGCCCAGAAGGTCACAAGTCATTCCACGTCAACGAGGCTCCAGCCTGTTTCCTTATACAGCTCGTCGATATTTTGAGCAACGGTACAGTTGGCTAATTGCCAGCACCAACTTCCGTTGCTGGGGGCAATGAACAAGGCCTTGATGCCGGGTTCCTCTTGGAACTGATGTCGGTCCGCCACCGCACTGTATGCGTTGTTTCTGCATCTACAGAACACAGAACCTCTTCTTACCCAGGAGAAAAAAAATCATTCCCATTGGCAAATCTGCGTCATATAGCTCAGATGCATTGTAGTGGCAACGACCAAGCTTTTCCCCCTCTGGTGCCTGCGATTGCCAGCTGTTTTTGCATGTGCGTATTGTCTGAGCGAGCTGTACACTGCATGCGTATGAATGAAGCTCCCACTCCACCCCGTGATTTGCGGTACAGCACAAGCAAGCACCAGAGCATGAGGGAAACTACTACAGAAGCGTCAGACTTCCACTACAGTATAGCCAGAATACACCCTGTTTCTCGACCCTCTCACCTTGCGCGATTCGCTGCTACAGTGCGGTCAGGTGCCATAAACCGTATGGCTGAAACCTGCGGGCAAAGCCGCACCAGCTGACGGAGTGGTACTGGGGGCAAAATTTTTCTTTATCGCTGTCTACCATTTTCAACCGCTTTGAAACGCTTGGTTAATGTTCTTTACCATGCAGCATCCTAGCTAACCGCTTTCTTGTGAATGTGCTTGTACCGTCGGTGATAAGACCATTTCAAACGTGGTGACGTTCTACAACCTGTGCATGTTCTGCAACCAGATGCTCTGCTAGCGCGAAACAGGGTGTAGAAGCCATTGTCGTATGGAGTCAACAGAGGCGAGACGAGACGTTGGGCATCCGACAGGACAATGACGTGACTGTAAGCTGCACATCAGCGACAAAAGACAGACGTGAACAAAAACCGCCAACGAGACCCAATCAAGTGCGGCGTAAGATACGGCGTCAAACGGCTTATGACTGTGATCGTTAACTCTTTGATCCATAGCGCATCGCAATCGAAGAAGGGCCATAGGGAAATCCATGATCGAGGAGTGCTGAGCGAACCAGCCTGTGGAAATGATGAAGCTGCGAGTCACATACTGTATTCCGACTGTCGCAGCGCGTTTCGGTTTTACCGTACCAGTACACGCACTTGTTCGCCATCCTTACCACTCGTTCCATTTTTCTGGCGGCTTGTCCCTTCTCGTTGCAACTGCTCCATGCACATCATGTGGCTTCAAACAATCGCCCAGCCTCTGCTGACACCATTGATACAATTGATCCCTGTTTGAGCCCCTCCCGGTTGCCTTGTGAAGGAGGCGTATAAGCTGTATCCTGTGTTTCGCAAAGGTTTCGTCAATTCGCAGCTAGCTAAAACGAATTCGCAGGTGCTTATATTAAGTTTCTGTAACATTACTCGTTGACATTTTGACTTCAGTCTCTTCAGTTTGACTTCAGTCTGTTCGTTACTATTGGTCCATAACCACGCGACGCGCTTGTATCGTGGGTGCAACAGGCTGGGGAAAGGACCTCGGGTGCAGAGTTTTCATCCAGTGCAGGGCAAACTCGCGTGCACTGGCTGGGCATCATGTGTATGTGGTCTTCAGCAAAAGATTCTGTTTTGGTCACGACTCTCCCAAGTCGTTCTCTTCAGGCTTCTCTGGTTATATATCTTTTTCGTCCTTCCACTCTTCGCCTTCACTTCCTTCACAAACCCAGTTCTCCGTCTTGGCCTTCTCATCAGTCGTTGGAATTCATTTCATTTTCCTCAGCTCTGGTTTCCACACTATGGCGGCACAAGTAGCCAGTAGGCGAGGGTCGACAGGGCATCAACCTGCTCTACGAACTATACAGACTGCTTCTAGCAGCAACAACCTCAACACCTCGCAGCAGCGCCTTCTAATGGGTCATCCCCAGCAGCAGCCAAGTCAGCAGGACAGAATACCAACGGCCAGCCCTCGTTACAACCCCGCTCGCAACAGCAACTACAAAACCCAGTTAACTAACCCTTTTGTTGACACTGAATACCGCCTTCCCCAGCCACAGCCGCAACAGGGTCTACAGCCGCGTCGCCACAGACGCTCCTGCTCCATGACGGACTTCGTCCCTGATTTAATCATCCCCGACACGTACGCCCAGACGCCATCCCCAGTTCAAGATCCCTTCGTCGCTAACGGCGCTAGTGGCCCCATACCCGATATTTATTCCCCCAATTATTCCCCTGGACCGGTCTCCGCACCTTGCGCTCTGCCTTTCTCTCCGACAGAGACCATCCCAGAGATTAGAACCAAGGCGTCCACGCCTCCACCCGTTACAAGCAGCAAAGCGGTTCCTCCGCGCCGCGGTCGCCACGTCAGACGCAGTTCGTGGTCAGGCAATCGACCAATCGCCTTCGACGAACCAGCTGAGGTGGAGTCATTCGACCTGCTAGTGAACTCGGGGTTTCAAACCGCCACCACGGACAACGGCGCGTTTTCAAGCGCTCAAGAGACAAGCAACACAGCGGCGTTGCTCGGAAACCGGAAATCTTTCGACTCCGATTCCCCCTTCCTCGTCGCATCGTCGCCCCGATCCCAGGGCGACATCGTCGGGCGAAGAGTCCCAATTGGCTATCCAACTCCTTCGATCTCTTCCCGCAAATCTGGATTTTCGACACCGCGGATCGCAGCTACTAGCGCGGATGCCGACGCTGACTCGGACGACGAGTTCGTCGAGCTGTACGGGAACGCCAGGCGGCATCGCGCGGAGGCTGCGCGTGCGCTGAACGCGCTGGAGAAGCTCGTTTCAACGTCTACTACAAACATACGCGCTGCTACCGCTGCCAGTCCAACAAAGTGTAGTAATGATAATGGAGTGATCCGTAGTAGCAGTGGGACAAAGATCAGATCGCTTGTCCCTCTGTCGCCCACGTCCTCGCCAACAGCATCGTCAGCGGCGGGCGATAAGAAACGGTTTTCGCAAGATCGTAATCCGCCGGGTCGTTCGCCAATGTCATCCCGCATCTGCCGCACGATCTTCGGACAAGGTTCGGCGCGCAACTTAACACATGCTACCGATGCCGCAGCACTGGTACCGTCAAGATCTACGTCGACGCAACCTGCACCGTCGATGAAGAGCGCCATGCCGAATAGGGAGGGTACCTTGCCTTTCGGCATGCCTAGTAGCAAGGCTGCGCCTCCGAACAGCCAATCAGCTGCTATGATCAAATCACCTACATGCATGACGGGAAGGCCAGAGAAGGCTGCCCCAAGCCCCAACTTTCTTACAAACGCAAATGTAACCTGCGATTCGCCATTCGCTCGCGGAGGGTCGCTGACGACAGGTGATGATCGCCTTCAGCGCAGGCGATCTCACGATGACGGAATCAGGCTTTCGCCAAAGGTGTGCGACACGCGGGTGTTACGGCGCGTTAGCTTCAGCTCAGATGTGGAATTTATAACGGAGAGGGAATGACGAGCATATTTTGTGGAATCTCGTGATGTGCATCTCTTACGGTACTATGAGGATTTTTTCATACGAATATATACATTCACAGGAGAGAAGAAACATCAGGAATAAAAAATGCACCTTTAGATGCATCTCATGAATGTGCTCTGATTGGTTTTTATTTTATCCCTCAAATATTTTATGGAGGTAAAGAGGTTACCATTAGCAAATTTGCTATTGGTTACGGTATTTCCCAAACAGAATGAATATAACAGAACATTCCCTAATCAGATACCTAATATTTTTCATGGATGTCGTTCGCATACCATTAGCAAATGTTTTTTTCTCTCAGTTTTGTATTTGTGGGTGTAGTACGTGTACAAAACAAGAATGTAAAACATCAGCCGTCGTTACTGATGATTTTAAGTGTATTGCTTATGACAAATTATCTTCCAAAAAAAGGTCAGGACGCTTGACCAATATTCACAAGTCTCGCGCGACGCGCGTAACTTGTCTCTCCTTGGCAGTGTCTCCGACCTGTTGTTGACTTCCGCTGCTGTTTGTTGTGCACCTGTGGGTCATCAGTGCTGCTTGCTTGCCTTGTTTTGTTCAGCAATGGGTACAGTCGATGTTCGTAGTAGTCTCAAGGGTAACTAGCTTTAACAGGGGTAGTACTAGCAACCCTGCGCTTTTCAAGGAACTACAGAGTTAGTTGCGTACACTTTTCGCCCCTCCGTCCCTCCGACATGAAGTTTATTGCAACATCACAGAACTCGGCCAAAACGTACCCACGTGTCACAAACTCGCATGCCACTGGAAAAAAACCCCTTCACTTGACCAAAAAAACTTCGGATGGGGAAGCTCTAGGGTTGATCCATCCCGAACAAAGGTCCAGATTCACTAATGGTTTTTATTTTTTCTGCCCTGATTGTTCTAGTTTTCTCAAAGTTGACACGTGGGTGAATTTGGGACCGAGTTCTGTTCTGCTCCCATAAATTTCCTGTCTGAGGGTCAGAGGGGCTTTAGTGTGCGCTAACACTGAAGTTTTCTGGAAAGCGCA